AAAAAAAAAAAAAAAAAAAAAAAAAAAAAAAGAATGAATGAATCTTTCTCCATATATCTGGTCACTCTGCTTTCTTGCTTCAAACCTTACAACAGCTTATAATCCATTCACTCAATCAATTATTTGTCAAACATTTTCGAGAGCTTTTTATATTTGAGGCATCATTCCAGATGCTGGTGACACAAATAGAAAACAAGACAGACAAGGTCCCTGCTCTTGTGGAACGTACATCCTAAGGGCATCAGGATAAGGTCCTAGAGACACAGCCCTGGTGCCCGTCTCGGCGTTCGGAGCCCGTGGCAGTGCGTTTTCTCCGTGGCAGTGCCTTTTCTCCGCCCTCGCCCCACGCAGGCGCACGTCCTGTGAAGACACTGGCATTTGGGGAGGGTGAAAGGCCTTGTCCAGAGGCACACGGCCACAGAGCATTGATGCTGGGGTTCCATCCGAGTGTGACGGCTTCAAAGCCTGGTGCTCCTGCAGGTGCGTCCCAGGCACCGGCACACAGTGGGGCTCAAAAGCAGCTTCCAGAGGGACCCATTTCACGGTCTCACATGCGTTTTTCCTTCCTTTGACACCATCCCTGGCGAGGTGTGTTTCTGCTGGCTAATCCGAACCGCAACTCACAGACTTTGCCTTCCACGTTTCTAAAACCAGGCCCAAGAGCAGCCCTTTTCCAGCGGAGAACGAGCATGAGGGGCAGGGAGGGTTGAGAGGGCTTTCTGAGCTGACATCACCCTGGGGCTCCAGGTTTAGTATGGACCCCAGGGTTTCTGGGGACTCGATGGACTTGGGGGACTTTTGTGATTCCAGGGATAATGGAAACTCCAGGCATGGTGTACTTTCCACAGGCTTAGCTGGATCATTGCTTTTCCTGGAAGGGGTGGGCGTGTGGAACAGGGCAAAGAAAAAAGGACGTTGAAATGGCTCTAGAGCTGAGGTACTCAAATCTTAAAGGGAAACCCCTTTGAGCAGAAAATAAAGCAACGTGGAGCAAGCCTGTGGGTGCAGCCTGCACTCCTGCCTTCTCCCTCTGGTCCTCCCCCATGCACCCCGAGAGCCACCCAACTGCTCCCCGTACTCCTCTGGGACGTCTGGCCTGACTTCCTCGGGCAGGCTCAGTCCCTCCCCGCTCTGTGCCACCGTAACTCCTGGCTCAGCCCTCATCCTGTGAAGCACCTTCCCCCCAGCCTGGCTGCTGTCTGAGGGCTAGGTCTGACCACTTCTAAGACTCCAGCATTGCCCAGGGCAGAGATGAGGAGATACTGCAGGAAATATTGGTGGAATTTAACAGATGCACAGTTTATACACAAAAGGACACTAGGTCCTCAGGCCAGGAGGGTGGCAGGGCACCTCTGATCCTGGAGGATCATGAACACTGAACAGTGAGGCCCAGCACCCCCAGGCACTGTCTCCATCAAGCCCTGCTGAGGGTGTGGGGTACGGGCGAGTGAAGGGGTACCCTGGGCTGGGCCTGGCCTCCAAGTACTTCAGGCTGACCTGTGGCGTCTACACCATGCTGACCCTGCCTGCCGTATGCTCAGAGACCAAAGCCTTCGGTTTCCTCTCTGATGATGCCACAGCTGCTGCCAGGGGTCCCCTAAACCCCTTCTTAGTGGGGACTCGGTGTGCTTGGGGGTGTGTGTGTATGTGAGCATGTGTGCATGCGGTGTGTAAATTGCTGATTCTAATTATCCTTTAAATTATTTATCTTAATTTTCATCCTTCTTTCCCTCTTTGGGTCTTAGCTTCATCATCCATAAAATGCTCTGAAAGCACATTGTGGCAGTTAGCTGTCCTACAAGATTGAGGATGGTAACTCCTTTAGAACACTATGCCCTCCTGTCCCCATGGATCTTAGGATCCTTATTCTGGTAGACTAGACTCCAGACACGAGGGGGACCCACCTGTACCTGTCTCTCAGGAGACGGGGTGATTGTGGATTTTCCTGGTTCCTTAGGCTTCAGAGACATCTCGGATTCTTGGCTGGCTTTGACTTTAGGGCTCTTCTTTGCTCTGATCACTGCAGTTTTCTTTGCCTGCTTCATTCTGACATGTTTCACTCTAAGGAAACGAGCTTCTGGTTGGTTGTGGCTCTCCACCTCCCTGTGTCCCCACACGGGCTCTGGTCTTGGTCAGGAGCTTTGGTTTAGAGCCTCAACAACACTTCCAGTGTGCTGTGTGACCTAGGGAAAGCCTCATACCCTCTCTGGGAGTTGGTTGCACACCCTATATAATGGGGATACCCTATTAATCAGGCTGTAGGGCTCAGATGAGGTCAACTATGAAGGGGCCTTAAAGCCTATGAAGAGATTGTTCTTGGTCTTTAAGTCCAGCTGATGATACTTTGAAAATAGCGCCTCAGTTTGCCCTGCCACCTGGCTCCTCTTTTTCCCCCCCCCACAAGTCCCACACTTCTGGTCGCCCCTCATCACTCACCCCAGCTCAGGCCTGGCTCCTCCCTGCAGGGACCTCAGCCCCAGACTCTGGCCTCGCTGTCTGGACTGTGTCCCACCCCAAGCTCTTACTTCCCCTCCCAGCTGTCTCCCGTGGCCCCAGCCAAGGGTTCTGTAGGGGACTGACATATATTTTCCTAGTTCAAGAATTAAAGTTAGTGAGTAATGTATGTGTTCTGCCCAGAGTGTTTGAAAGTAATCTGTTTTGGACAAGGTCCTTGTGATAAACGAAGGTGTTGCCTAGAGGCCTAACAAAGGACCTGAGCTGCGAGTAGCAAGAGCGGCTCTGCCCCTCAGCACTGGGGGTCTGGAGGCCACACGATAAACATATTGTTCCTGTGATTGCTGCGTACACCCCATAAGATGGCTGGTTAGTCAATGCCGGGTAAGACCCCCTCAAGGGAGGGGCGACCTAAGCCAGGCACAGCCACTGGGGTTCAGCTGAAGATCTTAGGGGGTCACCCTAAGAGAATCTGGAGATGAGAAATTCCCCCTGTGGCTCTCCTTGTCCATCCTTGCTAATCTCGGTCCTTTATCTATGCCTGGTGCCTAGAGCAACCACCTTGAGATTCTGAGTCAGGGGATGTCTGCTTCCCTGAGGCTATTCCGGAATTTATGGCCATTGCTGCAATGACCGGGTGGTTACATACAAGGAACTAACTTTAATCTTTTAGAGTATAAAAATAAAACTGACCCGGTATATTATCACTCAAGTCACCCATTTGTACGTGTGTCTGTGTTTTTCTTTGTGTTCTGCATTTGTGTTTTATGTTCTGTGTTCATCCTCTGTCCTGTAAATGGGCCGTGACAGGTTCAGTCCACGCTGCCGTCGGGGCTGGACGGAGGCTCCACTGCCGACTCTCCGGCCTGGCTCCCCGCAGCCCTGCCCCGCTCGCCCTGGGCCTCTCGCCAACATGGCCAGCCGAGCTCATGGCTCCTTGTGAACCAACACCAAGAACGTTTTCAACCTCATTTTTTAGCCACTACCTGTCACTCTCCATGCACCTGACACTATACAAAGACACTGGACATGTCTCCAACGTGCCCCTGGACTTGTGCACATAAAGGTTGAGTATCCCTTATCTAAAATGCTCAGGACCAGAAGTGTTTCAGATTTCAAATATTTTCAATATTTTCAAATATTTTCTCTTTATATTACATATAAAGAGATATCTCGGGGATGAGACCCAAGTCTAAACACAAAAAATCATTTATATTTAATATACGCCTTAGCCTAAAGGTAGTTTTATACACTATTTTTAATAATTTTGTGTAAGAAAAAAAGTTTGCATGAACTGAACCATCACATAAGGTCGGGTGTGGAATTTTCCACTTGAGGTGTCATGTAGGCTCTCAAAAAGTTTTGGATTTGGGGTCATTTCTGATTTCAAAGTTTTGGCTTGGGGATGCTCAGTGTGTACTACTTCCCACCACGCCCATGCATCCTCAGCCCCCAGGCCCCCGCGGACGGCACCTGGGGGACTCTCTGCCGGCCTCTCCAGGGCTGCCAGTCCCTCCCCGGCTTCCTCCTTTACAACATGTGCTGCGAGGGTCTGTCCCCTGGGCCTGTTTCATGGCTGATGGCCCTGGTGGTGGTGACTGTTGGGTGCCTCTTTCCTTTTCTAAACCCTGGGCAGCTTGGGGGCAGGGTCCCATCTGTGCCTTCGCTGTGCCCTCACCACAGCCAGGGCCGCCAGGCGCAGGCTGTGGGACAGGCTGGCAGGTGCATCGTGCCCCTGGTACTCACAGGAGGGGGAGGAGGCAGAGGAAGAGCAATGTGACTGCAGTGGCTCCGTACACTACACCCTGGATCAGCCCTTTCATGAAGTTCTGAGAAACCAGAGAACCTGGAATTGGAGCATTGAGAAGTTTGGCATTGGAGCCAAAGCTCTGCTCCCTCCCCGGTTCCCGGGGCCAGACCCCATCCCGCTCCCCGTCCTCACCCAGACACCCGCCCCTCCAGCCTCACCTGACATTAGGAGGATGCTCAACGCGTGCGTTCCGTTTTCGTTCTTTGCCTCACAGAGAAGTCTCGTGCCTATTTCTGGCTTCCCGGTCAGGCGGAGGGTGCTGTTGGCCCAGGGGCCGAGCATGGTGGACGTCACCTGGGGGCTGTCGTCTGTGCCATTCACACCCACGAGGGTGCCTCCCACCCGCCACTGCACGGAGGGCGTGGGGACCCCCTGGAAGGAACAGCTGCACTGCAGCGTCTGCTCCAAGGAGCAAGAGGAGTGGAGCAGCCTGGCAGGAGCTGTGGGAGGGAGGGTCGGGAGTCAGCGAGGCATCCTGACCTCCCTCTCCGGTTCCTCCAGGACCCAGCCTTCTCTTCAGTCGCTATTCACAGGAGTTTCGGAAGCCTTTCTGGGAGCCCACAGGATCACAGGATCCAGCCTTTGCTCAAAGACCAGTTCCTCTTTATCCTCTTTCCTCATCTGGTCAGAACCCAAATGCTGGACCTTGTAGACGGAGGGTGAGTACACGTCCTGAGAAGCTGCACTGCCTGTGATCTCTTGCAACCCCGGCCAGGCGGCCAAGCCTGAGCTCTGCTCTGCCTCTTGGCTTCCCTCCTCAAGCATCCCCTCAGGCTCTGTGATCAGTTTCTCCCTCCGTCACTTACTGTCTGGGTGTTGCTGGGTGAGGCACTTCCCTTCTCGGTGCTGTTTCCTAGTCTGTAACACTGGGACAGTCACTGGACCATCTCATACCATCACTGCTGCAAGGATGAACACCCTAGGACTCGTAGTGGCCCTAGCTCTGTGCACGGTAAGGTGTTGCCCATTCGATAAATAGAGCTCCCTTCTCCATTTCCTTCCTGCCAGTCCCAAGTGGCCTTTGACTGAGCATTCACTGGAAGCCAAGACAGCTATGGCATCTTCCGGATAAGAAGATTAAAACTGCCTTGCTCTCCACAGAATAGGGAGGGCACGTTGACCATTGGGTGAGTATCATGGATTAATAAGAAATGGTCACCTTCATCAGGGTCCTCAACAATAAGGAACTGGTCTTTAGAGTTTTCACATATTTTTTCTTTGAGGTTGAGGTTACTGGCAGAAAGGGGTAACTTCCTCCGAACCAGGAGCTCTTGACCTTGGTCTCTTTAACTAGATCACTTGGGCGGGGGCATATTGGGGAATTTGCAGGGGATTGTGATGCACAGCCCCTCCACTGCCACCCTCCGGGCTGTCTTTCCCATCTGAGAAAGCAAGCTGTGCAAACGCTGGACACTGGCTCCCTTCAGGGCTCTGGTTGTATCTGAAACGGCTCCCTGTGCTCCCCTATCCTCCCGCCCCCGACTGCACCACCACCCTCGCTCTCAACCCTACTCCCTGGCTGGTCTGCTCTTTGTTCCAGACACCCCCGGCCCTGCCAGAATCTGGCACACGGGGTCGAATCCACATGGGTTATCTGGTACTTGTGCTCTTACGTCCTCGTTCTTCATGGCACCACAGCCCCCGGTGGCCCCAGCTGCCCCGGCCCGGAGTCTCTCTTACCCAGCTGGGGCAGGGGAGGCCCCATTGGTGGCAGCAGCAGTTCCCAGGGCCAGCGGAGCCTCTTTGCGACACGGGCTCTGACATCAGGACCGTGCAGTTCAGAAGGGGTGAGGCGATGGGCAGCTGGAAGAGGATGTGGGGGTAGGGAGAGCAGAAGGCATTCTTAGCAAGAAGGCAGGGGCTGCCATCTCTTTGGCCACCCCAAAGCCTGATCGCCTGGAGAAGCAGGAACATGGGATGAAATGCTCACGAGCACCAGGGACAGGGAGGCGCCGTCTGACCCCCTGCGAAGCCCCAGCACCACGTCTCCTTTGTTCTTCCCCCCCCAGTCTCCCTCCCGGCGCCCACCCCCTCTGGGGGGCCTCGGACGCCAGGTCCTTTGAGTTCTCCCTTAAAGCTGAGAGAAACCCACGAAGGGCCGTGCACCATGGAGGGACGGGATCAGGAGGTTTGAGTGTCTAGAACATTCCCCTGGGCCCAGTGAGAAGTGGCATGGAGGGGTGGCAGGGCCGCCGGGCGGCAGGCGAGAGGCAGTTGCGGAGACTGGAAAGCACAGCACACTTGAGCCGGTGCGCGGCTGCGGGCACGCAGGCATGGGGCGGATGTGACAGGTCTTTGGAAGAAGATCCTGCTGCCCACAGTGAGAGTCCGCTTTTCCTTTCTTGCCGACAAGAAAGCAAACTTTCCTGCTTTGCAGATCACTCTCCACACTTCGCCTTACCTGTGCCGATGTTCCACTGTGCATTTCCTATGCCAAAGGGGAAATGGCCCCCTTTCCGGGTTTCGCCCTAAACAGACTTGCCCCTTCACTCAGGCATTTCCCCTGTCACGGCGTTTCCTCTTGCTGTTCCCCTGTGCCCACGTTCACATCCTGTGTGAATTTCAAAGCTGAGTTCCAGGGCATTTCCCACATGTGGCCTTTCCTGACCTCCCTACTCAGGGTAGAATTAAGTCGAATTACTTTCCTCCCAGAAATGCAGATTACAGAACATTCTAGCAGACAACTTGTTTGGACTTTTGGAAATGTCAATGTCATGGGGAAAAAGATTGGAAGGGCTATTTTAGACTAAAATATGCTAAAACGATGGAACACTTACATATACAGTGTGATCCAAAGGGGCTCCTGAGCCAATTTTCTTAAGATACGTGGAGAAATTTGAATATTGATTGGATATTAGGTAACATTACAGAATTATTGTTGTTAATATTCTTAGAGGTGAAAATGATATCATTTTGTGGGAAAATGACTATTCTTCAGGGTATTTAGAGGTGACATTTTTTAAATTTACAGTTGGTATTTCTTCTTTTTTTTTCCTCAAAATAGTATGGGGTGCGAATGTTTTTGGTTACATGGATCACTTTTGTATACTTGAATCGGGGCCGTAAGTGTACTCATCATCCAGAGAGTGTTCATTGTACCCATTAGGTAGGTTTTTGCCCTTCCCCTCCTCCACCTTCCTCCCTGCTTGATTCTCACGGAGTTTTACTTCCCTCTGTGCACATGTGTGTTCATCCGTTAGTTCCAATTTAATAGCAAGTACATGTGGTGTTTGTTTGTCCATTCTTTAGATACTTCAGTTAGGATAACTCTAGTTCCACCCAAATTGTTGCAAAAGGCATTAATGCATCCTTTATATGGCTGATTAATATTCCACAGTATACATATACCACACTTTGTGAATCCACTCATGAATTGGTGAATCCACTCATGAATCAACCGGGTTGAATCTACATCTTTGCAATTGTGGATTGTGCTGCAATAAACATTGAGTGCAGATGTCTTTTTGGTAAAATGACTTCTTTTCCTTTGGGTAAATACCTAATAGTGGGATTGCTGGGTTGAATAGTAGATCTACTTTTAGTTCTTTGAGGAATCTGCATTCTGTTTTCCACAGAGGTTGTACCAACTTGCAGTCCCGAGAGGTGATTTTCAAAATGTGCTGCAACTCACTTTCAAATGAGACAGCAAAGAGAGCAAGAGAAACAAATATGAACAGATGGTAACAATTGTTGCATACAGGCAGAGGATATATGAATGTTTAAATTTCAATTTTTCTGTATGTTTAAGATTTTCATAATCAAAAGCTAGGGAGAATATTTAATAATAATAGATTATCATAAGCTTATTTAAGTGGTGATTCCAATTGCAGTTGTATTTTGGGTGAGAGGTCTCCTTGCTCAGCAAATCAACTTATTCCCTAACACTTGATCTTTCAGTGAATTAACTGGTCAAAGTTCTTTCTTCACTCCAATAAAAGAAAACACATGAAGCAATTTTCAACCACCCAGTAAACATTATAGTATGTCTCTACCAACATGTCTCAGGAACACATAAACAATTTTTAAAGCAGATTTCTAACTTTGAGTCATGATTCAGCTTGCAGAGATCTTGACCATTTCATCCTCCCTAGGATATGGTGTTGACAGTTATTCTGTTTTTATGAGGGCATGCAGAACAGCAAGACCATAGATGCCACAGAATGTGATCATTTTCCCTTACCATATTTGCAAAAATTAAGAAGACTGAAAATGTCCAATGCTTACAAAAGTCATAGTAGAAGTGGAAAGTTTTGTAAATGAGTCAATTTGGAAGCATCTAGAAAAATTTTTTAAATTTTTTATTTAGCGTATTATGGGGGTCAAGTGTTAGATTACATATGTTGCCTATGCCCTCCCTCCCTCGAGTACCAAGCTTCAAGCAGTGTCCATCCCCAACGTTACACTCTTACTTGTTGTGTTTGTATTATACCCATCCCTCTTCCCCCTCCATCCGCCTGACACCCGATACATGTTTTCCTAATTGTCCACTTAGTGTTGATCTGTTAATACCAATCACTGGTGAGTACATGTGTGCTGGTTTTTCCATTCTTGAGATACATTCACTTAGTAGAATGGGTCAGCTCTAACCAGGAATATACAAGAGGTGCTATATCACCGATTGTTTCTTAAAGCTGAGTAGTACCTCCATGGTATACATATACCACATTTTTTAATCCACTCATGATTGATGGGCCACTTGGGTTGTTTCCACAGCTTTGCAATTGGTGAATTGTGCTGCTATAAGCATTCGAGTGCAGGTTCTTTTCATAAGTGAAACCTTTTGATCTTTTGGGTAGATGCCCAGTAGTGAATTGCTTGGATCAAATAGTAGATCTACTTGTATCGCTTTGAGGTATCTCCATATTGCTTTCCACAGAGGTTGCACTAGTTTGCAGTCCCACTAGCAGTGTAGGAGTGTTCTCTCTCTGCCTGCATCCATGCCAGCATTTATTGTGTTGGGACTTTTGATAGGGCCATTCTCACTGGAGTTAAGTGATATCTCATTGTGGTTTTGATTTGCATTTCCCTGATGATTAGAGATGTTGAGCATTTTTTCATATGTTTGTTGGCCATTCTTCTGTCTTCTTTTTGTAAGTTTCTATTCATGTCCTTTGCCCATTTTTCGATGGGTTGTTTGATTTTTTCTGGCTGATTTTCCTGAGTTCTAAATAGATTCTAGTTATCAGCCCTTTATCAGATGTGGCTTGCGAAAATTTTCTCCCATTCTGTGGGTTGTCTGTTTTCTCTCTTGATAGTTTCTTTGGCTGTGCAGAAGCTTTTTAATTCGATCAGGTCCAATTTGTTTATTTTTGTTGCTGCTGTGATTGCCTTTGGTCTTCTCCATAAATTCTTTTGCTAGGCCAATGTCCAGAAGGAGTATTTCCAACATTTTCCTCTAGAATTTAATATTTCACATCTAAGGTTCAAGTCTGTTACCCAGTATGAGTTGATTTTAAATAGACATACATTTTGTCTTAGCAATTCCCCTTAATATTTTTATAGAAATATGCACTATGCAGAAAGACATAGGAATTAGATTGTTCAATATAGAATTATGTATCATAACAAAAAGCTATGAAAAATCTAAACATTCAACAGTAGAGCAATGGTTAATGTAAATTTCAATAATGTCTATAAACATTTAGAGTATTATGCATCAGTAAATAATAAATCTACATGCTCTGATTTGGAAAAGATCTCTAAAATATATCATACTTACTTTAGAAGAAGATAGAGTACCAATGATTTATATATAATTTTCTAGACATCTTTTTGTGATAGTTGCATGTGAATGCATGATAAGGTTGGAATCATATGTGTGGGCGGCTCCCTGTCAAGGAGTCCAGAAATGTCTCTGTCCACCCCTGACCATCCTCACTAATGTGCGTATGACTTCGGTCCTCAGCTGGTGGGGTCAAGGGACCCAGGCCATTTTGCCATTTATTCCTGATTAGATAATGTGGTGTATTGTTTCAGCAAAATTTGGGGTCAGCTTTCTCATTGCAATATTTGCATCCTGCCTTTTTAAATTCCTTGAACTAGAGTAAATAGAACAGAATTAATTAGGGCTCTTCAATGTTGGGGCTCACATTGGTCCACTCCATTTCCAAGAAGTCCATTGAAACTTTTGTTTTGATCACTTCAATGTCCACTTAACTCATCTCATTTTTTTAAGTGTTTAACATGTTTTCACTCTGATTGGATGAATCCCCCTGACGCTCCCCTTTGTTTTCCTCATTCTCTTGTGAATCACTCTAACTATCTTTGCCATCTGTCATTTCTGCATAACTTTCCATGTTAACAGTGGCCTGAGGCTAGCAGCGATGGCTTGGACTAGCCAGTACCCAAAGTTTGGCCCAGCTCAGGACCCCTCCTCCACTTTCTTTTTAGCTGTTACAGATAAAAGTGGCAAAGGGATTGGTATTTAGCTTGTTTCCTTATGCATCAGCGAATCAGCCCTTGGGGTTGGATTCACCATTATGTAAAACCACAGGTAACTTTTACCTCTTGTGACTGACTGCAGAACTGCTGCCTTTCCACACTGGGGGCCTCGCGGCGATTCAGGAATCAAAGACTTGTCATTCTGACTCACGTCCTTCTCTTCCCAAACATCCTTTCAGTGAGCACGGCTGACCAGTGAATCCCATTTTCTGACGCCAAATGAAAAGGCAGGGACAGTCCAACACTTGGCCCTCACTTCTGAACCAGCTGCAGATTTGGGACCTCTAAGATCATCCCCATTTCTGAAATCATTTGCAAGTTTTGGGTCCCCAAGGCTACCCTTACAGGTTTTGGTTCATATT